ATTTTATGGCCAGGACCTTTGCAAAAACCTTTACTCGTACTCAGTAGGTGGTGGTCAAAATTGGTAAGGAAATAGCTTGGGGATGACATTAAAAATGGAAATGCTATAGCCTGTGGGAAAGGATCTAAGGAACTACTTTTGGGAGGAGAGATGTCTAAAGAAGATAATTATAGAAAATGTACATCCCAGCCACACGTGGGTCAGAGCGTGTGCAGCGGTGTTCAGAAGCACCTTTCCTCCCTTTTGGGTATCTGCATCTTTTTGTGGTTTTGGTGGCTCCGGGTCACATAAAAACCTCCAGAGGAAGCTGAGTACTGCGGAGATGTTGCTGCCTCTGATAAGGACACGAAGCATAGAAGACAGGTCCTCCATGAGTTCTGATGTCCCCGATGTGTATTTTGATTTATTATTTTAGTTAGGTGGTAAACAAAGGGTTTCTGGTGTTTCAGATGCCCAGTGGCAAGGGTGTAGTACAGGCCCTAGATCTGCCCCTGCAGTTCCCTGTGCAGCGCTGGGTGACTGAAGCAGGACGGCAGGGCAGTGAAGAATACAAAACAGGATAACTGACAGAAAGTGTAAAATCTACACCAGTATCATTGTTCTTGGTATTTACTATGGGTTTTTTGGTTTTGGGGGGTTTTTTTGCACAGAAAGCTGCAAATAGCTCAGCTCCTCCCCCAGCCTGCAGCGTCCATAGCTTCATGTGTTGCTGTCTTTCCAAGGCCCTGAGGACTCTGTGCACAGGAAACAGGTTCATTTTGCAAAGCCCTTCTGTCTATAAAAGTTGTTATTATCACTGGATTGTACCTGTGTCCATTTTGCTCCAAGCAGGTAGAAGCACCTGCCCAATTATCTTGGCTTTTATTTTATTATGATGATGATTAAAGCTTAACTGCTGTTAGCAGGAAACATTAAAAACGTTTTCCAGCTAAACTTCAGGAAGCAGAGTTGAGAGGGCTATTTTCTGACCCCTGATCTAGCCAGCTTTCCGTCTTAGGAACTGAGACACTTGGTTTTATTCTGCACACAGGGGACAGCAGTGACAGAAGTGACCGGCTGGAGCCCTGCTGAAGGAGCCCACGCTGATGGGGAAAGGGGGTTATTGCAGATAAGTGCCTGGCAGCTGACATTCCAGCCCCAAGCGGTTCTGGAGCCGCATGCATTAGGCCTCTCAGCAGTGTTTATCTCCAGAGACTGTTTTGTTTATCTCAGAGGCTTCAGGTTAAATCCCTTCCCCCTCCTTGCCAAAGCCACCTCTCTTTCCATAGCCCCAATTCTTCAAAGTAGATTCTTTTTTGGTCATTTTTCTAAATTTGAATAAATCTCATGCCTTGGGAATTATAGAACAGGCCTCTACAGGACCATCTTGTAGATGCCCTGTCACTTGTCTGGCTTGTGATTCTGATGTTGTGTAGTAAACATTAATTATGTCAGCCAACATTCAGTTACAAATGAGGACTTAGAAATAGGCTTTTATCAGGAAGTGACATTTGGCAGATGGATGGTTTTAGTAGCCAAAAGAGAAAAAGTTTTTTTTAACCTCAGTTGGTAAACTACAAATTGTTAAATACTGTTTCACTCTGTTTACCTGTTTTTGTCCCAGTTGAGAAAATAGTCAAGTACGGAGAATCACCCATTCATTCAACAAATATTTATGGAGGGCTCACTAAATATCAAGTACTATATAACCCAAGTATTTTTAAACATTTCCTTTAAAATACTGCCTCAGTATGAAGTTCAACTCAAAAACGAGTGTTTATGTGTACACTTTACCATAACTAGCCTTAGAGCTAGACTAATTAAGATCAGTGACATTTTTAAAAACAAAATAAACAGGGAAAACTTGAGTGGAAATACACTTTATTCAGAGACAAAAGGAGAACAAAAAAGACTGAAAAATGTACTAGAAATACATTGCTAGACCCATGATGGTAGTATAATGAGAGGCAAACCGTCAGTACTGCTGCTGACTGTGATTGATCACAAGCTTTTAGGACTCTGGGCCAGTGCTTCCCAGATAGAAAGATAGATACAGTTTGGCAGGGCGGCCTTGGGTAGCCCTGGTATCTGATACGTAGTGCACATTAAATTAGTAGTTTGCAGTGACGAGGTTAACATTTGGGAGATAAAGACTGAAAGACCTTCCAGTGTGATCTAAGGAAGTAGGGACTGTTTGAATGTCTTAAGAGAATACACAGGTGCTGAATGTCTGGAGGAGTGGTAAGAGAGGGAAACCCCTTTCAGAATCAGCTGTACTTTCTTTGCCCCCATCTTTCCCTGGAACCCCCCTTGTGACTCTGGTAGGAGGCAGGAAACACACAAGGTGAGGGAGAGGAGAATTTCTGGCTCCAGCCCCTGAACTGCATCAGTATCCCCAAGTTACTTTCCAAAGAGTTCTCCAAGAGCAAATATCCATTGTCCACTCTGCTTCCTATTTTAGAGGACTTTTAATCTTCTCTTTTGTCTTCTGTGCGGTTGATAAACTGGCCCCACATCCTCTTCCCTTTATCTGCACCACCATAGAAGTATATTCCACTGTTGAGGCCGATCTGTTTCACAAATCCTTTTGTGTTAACGCTGAAAAGGAAGGCTTTGAAATCTGTGACCATGGAGCTCTGATCTGGCTCTGCTTCCCTTGCTAGCCGCAGTTTACATAGCCATATGACCATGAAAGCTCAGATACAGCTGCCGTGGCCCAGTTGTACTGCACTGGGCCTCCTTAGGAGAAGAGCCTATTGTGCCCCAGACCCAATAACAAGCCTCCAAAATGGAGCTAGGTTTCTTTATCCCTTGCAAAGCCATGCGTGGATGGTGAATGACAATGGATCGCTTTGGGTGGGGGCGGGAGGTGCTCACCAGGCAATCAGGGAGAGCAAGCCGAAACCATTGAACTCCATTCCAGAAGGAATTTTCCTTGGAAGAGCACACATTCAGAGAATTCTAGCTGGAGAATTTTCGTCTTCATTTGTTGGATACCATTTGGCTAGAATTGCCTGAGTTTTATTTTTCAACAAAGTAGTGGAAGTACCCTATGGATAAGAGCATGTGGGGCAGACGTGGAAATGAGAGATTTTCCCCAGGTCTGTGTGTCGCCAGCCTTGTCTACCTAGCATGCCCTTCTAATCAAGCAAGGGTGCTGTGGGTAAGGATTCTCTCCATTGTTCACACAAAGAGTGGTCAATATGCAGTTCTCCATTTTCTGTGCAGAAAGTAACCCCCTGGACACTTAGCTGTTCTCTGAAGTTACCTTTCAGCCAAGACTGTAACATGATCGCAGGACGCTCCTGTGCGCTGCAGAGCCATACCCACAGGTGTGCTGCCTCGCTCATAGATTTCCAGTATTTAAACAGTCATGCACAAACAAGTACTCGATGAAAGAAAAGAAAGCAGACATTTATTCCAGTTAGGATTAAAAACCAGTTATGTACAGCAGCGTTAGGTGGGAAAATGGGACGATCCAGTTAAAAGAAGCAGAAAATGCTGATTTTTGTGAGTGTTGAAACCCAGAGACGGTCTTCAGATCTTAGTTTACAAATCGTCCCTTCCAGGAAGCCTGCCCTGACCTTTCCAAGGCTGAGAATATGCGCAGCTTCTGTCGTGGAAGAGGTGTCTTCCTCCCCGGCCAGACCTTGGTGGCCAAGGACTTTGAGGAGTGATACTGCCTATCCTTTAGCAGGCACCTAGGCAGCTCACTATCACAGAAGACAGGCCCAGTAAAAACTGACTGCTTGGGGGGTGAGGCTGGGGAGGAGCAGAGTACTTGTCTGGAGGATAAAGGAGGCCTTTGAATTTGCAAGCTAAGTGTTTTGTTTTACCCCACGAGGAAGGTGGGTCCCGCCACAGCCATAGACTAATTCAAGCCTTCCTGTTCTAGTTCACCTTATCTTGATGAAGAGGGTAATTTGTTTTACATCTTTTATAGAGCAGAAGCAGTTGAAGCATATCAAGTCTGAACTGTGTGTGGGTGGTAGTTTTCTGATTATAATCCATTAAGACTAAGCTGTGATTTCTTAAACGCTTTCATTTGTGACAGGAGCCAAACCCATACCAATTTCCTTTCATGCAGACAGCAGCATACTACTCTTCTGAAAATGAGAATGAGCTTTTTTTCCAGGTTATGTTATTTTAAGCAGAGGCATAGCTGAAAATGCGTATTGAGCAACACAGAATACTCCGATTGACACACAAAAAAGGAGGGCTCTTGAGAAAGACAAGAACAATTCCACACTTGAACTTGCTGTTTTAACCAGTTCGCTTTAGGTTTCCCAGCTGAGTTTGCTTTCTTAGCCACTTCTAGAACAGAACAGAGCTGTGAATCATCCTGTCCCTTCCCCCATCTGAGTTATTGCTGATGTTTTTCTTGACAAGAAGCTTCTTGGTCTTGTCAGCTTTGTTCTGTGCTTGTGGCTGTCGTAACTGCAAGCAGCTGGTGAGCTGGGGGTGGCTACTCCTTGCAGCACACTTAAGGGCTTCGGTGTCACCCTGTACCCACACAAGGCCAGGTATACTAGACTGGCCTTCGAGTCGCAGCACTGCTGCCCACTCGCCCAAGTCCCAGCTGAATAAGTAGAACTAGAAGCAGGGGCACAGAGGCTGGAATGCGCTCAGTGCTGATTTCTGTGAAGTGCTCTCAAGCCCATAGGGAGGCCCTCCTTGGTCGTCTCTGGTTGTGAACCATGAGAGGCATTGCAAGGTGGATGAAAGCCCCATTTGCTAAGCATCCTGAAGCTTAGGAGACAAGGTCTCACCCAGAAGCCAGCCTCCAGGCCCCAGACACACAGGCATTTCCCCCAGGAAGGAGGCAGTCTTTCCATCACCACAGTACCGTGCCTGCCTCACCTGGCGGCCAATCTGAGGAGGCTGATCAGCATTGCTGATCGAACCCCAAGACAGTGTCTAGGGCGGCCAGACAGGCCCTTCAGGGAGGGAGAACTGTTCCTTTGGAAATTTTTGATGGCCTCTGACTTTGTTTCCTTTTTTCCATCTAAACCTCTGAACAGGAGCACTTCTTCTGGGAGGAATCCTCTACTCCTGGCAGTTCCCTCATTTTAACGCGTTGAGCTGGGGCCTCCGTGAAGACTACTCCCGCGGTGGCTACTGTATGATGTCAGTGACTCACCCAGGCCTGTGCAGGCGTGTGGCGCTGCGCCACTGCCTGGCCCTGGTCGGACTGTGCGTAGCTGCGCCTGTGCTAGATGTCACCACGTGGGCCTTCCCAGTGGTCTCCCTCCCCATCAACCTGTACATTTCCTACCTCGGCTTCCGGTTCTACAAGGATGCGGACAGGAAGAGCTCCCGGAAACTGTTCTTCTGCAGCCTGTGGCATCTGCCTCTGCTCCTGCTGCTCATGCTCACCTGTAAGCGCCGGCCAGGAAAGGACGGGGACAAGGAAGATGCTCAGAGCTGATAGTAAACAGGCACATGGAAAAAGAACTAAAAACAGGGAGACACACAATTCTTTGTCATTGGGTAAGAATATTTTGGTAATTTTGGAGTGCAAAAAGGGAAATCATTGGTTTTAGTACAAGATTGTAAAATAATCTGGTGCTCAGTGTCCACTTAAAGACATATATATATGAATTTATGCATATAAATGTCATATATATGTGTATATATCCCTAAATACCCCCCAAATAAGAAATGAGTTGGCTCAGCCAATTCATACAAAGACTATTTTTTTTTCATCCTTTCCTCCATTACCACCATTCTGCGTTTTCTTCTCCTTCATGTGTGTACACATACATATCTCCTGGCTGCACACTCACACGCACACATGCACGCGCGTACACACACTCCCTACCTGCCAGCCAGAGTGGCTGCTGGTCAGACAAGCTCTGACCAGACCTGTGTTCTGTCTCAGGGTCACCCAGGGCCACCTCAGAGGAAATACACACTGCAGTCACAGCATCCCTTTCCCTGCTGGTGAGCTGGGCACCCTGCTGCTGTTCACTCCACCTCACCCATGTTCTCGGCTGTGCATTGCCACAGAAAATAACAAAACAGCTGGGCGTGGTGGAGCATGCCTGTAATCCCAGCACTAGGGAGGCTGAGGCAGGAAGATCGTTGGAAGTTTGAGACCAGCCTGGGCTACAAAGTGAGCTCAAGGCCAGCCTGAACTGCAGAGCGAGACTCTGTCTCAAAAGGGCAAAAACAAACAAAAAAAGAAAATAACAAAACACACAGGATGGGTCTCTGCACAGCTTTGGAAGGGTGGACTCCAAACGGTTACTCAGGGAATGAAAGACTCCACTGCCAGCCCCCCACCACCACTCCCACTGCAAATGAGAATTCCAGAAACTCCAGGCAGTCAAAGACATCTTTATAGTTCACTTTGAAATGCAGGCACTGCCTGAAGCCTTTCTCTCTGGAAGGGTGACACTGGCCTTAATTCCAGAAATCCCTCCCGGTGGCTCCGAGGTTGTACTCCTCAGTCCCTACTAAACCCGCCAGCTTTTCTTTGCTGCCCCACTTTTTCAAGGCCGTGTGCGCAGGGAAGCTGGAAAAAGGGGAGCTGGGCTGGCAGCCCACATAGCTTGCATTCTTGTCCTTTGTAGAAACCACATCTCCATCCTGGTACCTCCTAAGCTCAGAAACTGGTCTCCATGTGTGTGATGGCTTTGAGTGCCAGCGCCCAACTGGGCTTACATGCTTATGGAATAGGAAGTGGTCCTGTGATGGCTCCACTTCTGGAGAGTTTTGCATTTCCTGTAGCCAGCGGTGGCCTCAGGTATCAGACATCGTCATCTGTAAGGTCTCTGTTCTTGGTGAGTGCCCCAAAGTCCACATGGAGTTCCAGTTGCTCAGAACGTTAGATCCCAGCGGGGTGCTTTAATCACACAGACTCCTGGGCACGACTGCCCTGTAGGGATTTGTTCAAGGGGTTTGAACAACGCTGAAGCAGTCATTTCAGTGTAACTGTTCTCTCAAAAATGTCCACGGTTAGACCGTAGCTCAGCGTAGAGCACTTACTTCACATGCATGAGGCGCAGACTTCCATCCCCTCCACCACAGGAAAAAAAAAAAACAACTAAAGCAGTTGCAGATAGCACCTTGTCCTTGTTTCTGCTCCTCTGGAGTATGACCTCTTGCTCGTGTCCAGGTCGTTTCCTGCGGGCGCTTGGCATCTAATCTAACGTTCTGAGCAGCTGGGACTCCATGTGGACTTCGGGGCACCCACAAAGGACAGAGACCTTACAGGTGATGATGTGTGGAAAGAACGTCTACAGTTCATTGTGGCCCTTAAGTTTGTAAAACATTGATTCTCTTCCTTCAATAAAATTCTGTAAGAATTGGAGGGTGTGTGATGTGAAGGATTTTTTTAATCATCTTTTTAACAAGTTTGCACAGTTCCTGGTGACTTGGTAAACTTCATTCCTTCATGTGCTCTCAGAACTACAGGGCGCATCGCTATTTTTTATTGTAAATAGATACCTTATAGCTTACATGCTTATGGAATAGGAAGTGGTCCTGTGATTTATCATTGCAATATGAAATAACTAGGTCAGAGTAGGATATTCATGATCTCAAATGCTTATTCTCTGAGGTGAGAACATGTGAAACTTGAGTGACTTTGAACTGTGCGGCACATTGTTGTTTATTGTACTCAGCACAACACATCTCAAAGAAACAAATGTGTACCTCCTAAGTGAACCTTTGTGCGCTTGGTTGTCGTCCCCCCACCCCCACCACCCCTCACTCCTCAGAGTTTGGCTGGAACAGTCTGAGTCCTCTAACACCCGCCCTGCCTTCCCCTTTCCCCGCTTCCCTTCTGCTCCCTGGCACACTCCAGCTGACAGGACAGCCCGGTGAATGAGGCCCTAGAGTTCTGACTGAAGCAGGAACCCGAAGAGAAGGATTCTTGGAAACGGCTCACTTGGCAGACTCTAATGACATGCTCCCAGTCAAAGGAAACAAACTCCTCACTTGACTTGAGTGAAGAACTGTGTTGGGGTGCTGGCCTGGTTGTTTCTCTAGAAGTAGAGGGAGCCAGTGGTTACCCAGAAAGTTTAGGTCCTGTCACTCAGTGGCTGGACCCTGCCGAGTTCCTACATGAGAGGCAGAGCACCTAATGCCGTGTGTCTTACTTTCTCCTCACTGAGACTCCTTTCCCAGCACCCACAGCTCTGAGCAGGAGAGGTTTATTTGAGCTCGTGTGTTGCAGTTCAGTCCACCGTCAGCTGGCTCCAAGGCAGGGTAGCAGAGGAGAAAAAGCTCTCTGTGTAGCCATAGGAAGCAGAGAAAGATCAAGGGAGGAGGAAGGGAGAGAAACCCTTGCAGGCCACACCCACAGTGACCCATCTTCTCCAACCAGGCTTCACCCCCCAGTTAGCCAGAACCTCATCAGACTGCTGCACTGATGAGTGTCACCCCTGCGATCCAGTCCCCTCCCCAAAGCCCCACCTGTGAGCTCCCAAAGCTTTAGCAGGACATCTTGATAATAAACCACATCATGGGACAACCCAAGCTGATACTCTGATTGGCTCACCCTGGGTCATAACTTCCCCTGCTTGCTGTCACCATGAGGTCACCAAGTTAAGGTAATTACATTACCTCTGAAAATGAGTCCTAAGTGTGACCGTCCCTCACCAGCAGCTTGGTTTAAGCAGCCATCCCTCCTGAGACATCACCAGCTCTTAATATAACTTTCTCTTTTCACTTTGCCCCTACTCCCTGGTCTTCAGCAGGGAGCCAGCGGATGCTTTCAGGGCACGGGGCGATTCCAGTTTTCCACCTGGCAAGCGCTGCTCTTTATAGTGGGAATAAAATGCAGCGCACTTAAGTGGCCCTCGAGGCCTGCACACTGGCCGTGCTCCCCATCTGATCTGGGCGCTACCATCCAGCCCCGACCTGCTGTCCTGCCCGAGCCCTCCTCACTTCTCCTGACAGACTTGAGGCCTGCCCCTTCAGATTGTTCCCACCTCCTGCTCTCTGCACCCCGCAAGCCTTCTCCATCTCCTTTGCGTTCCCCGAATCTCACTGAAATGACACCTCCTTAGAGGCCTTCCTTGGCCGTATCATCAAACAGTACCCCTAGCGTTTACTACTTCCTTACTGTGCCTCATGTTTTAACGTTGATACTGTATTTACATAGTTCACTAATTGTTTATTGTCTGTCTTCCCCCTCGAATATAAACTCCACGAATGCAAGGACTTCATCTTTGTATTACTTCATCTCTAGCACCTAGAACAGTGCTTGGAACAGAGTAGGTGTTCAGTAAGTACTTTCTGAATGAAGAAAAGGATAATTCCTGTCTGATTATTTAAGCCCTTTGTGGGCAGAGCAGTGGGGTCTGTCAGCCCAGTAAAAAATGAGGTGGTTTGGAAAGGTGCTCATGGCGTGTGGTTACATGAGAAAAGATGACTTCTACGTAGTCCTCCTCCAGCTGGCACAGCCCGGATCCCCGCCGCCTGCAGCACTGTCCTCAGAATGCAGCAGCACAGTGCCTTCCGGTGTTTTCAAGCCACTGACCCAGAACGTCTCACCCCAGCCCACCGAGCACTGTTCCCGCAGCATTCACCTCCCGTAAGAATCGCGCATGCCTGACCCAAAACCCAAGTCCAAACCAGAAACTCTGTGTGTGCGCACTGTGGATTGGACTGAAGGAGATACATCCCCAGCCCTTGTTTAAAATTTTATTTTGTTTTGTTTTTATTTTTATTTTGAGATAGGATCTCACTAAGTTGCTCAGGCTGCACTTGAAGTTGGGATTCTCCTGTCTCAACCTCCCAAGCAGCTGGGATTGCAGAGGTGTGCCACTATGCCTTGTAACATCAGAAACTTGTAAGTGCTGACGTCATGCCCCAAGTAGGGAATCCCACACCTGACCTCATAGGCAGTCACACTCAAAATTATAAAGTTATTCTCAACATATGTGTAGTAGATATATGTGAAAAATAATGCATTGCTTGTTTACCCTTGGATGTCATCATGAATAATTTCATTATGTATATACAAATATTCCAAAATCCAAAATTTGAAACATGTCTGATCCAGAGCACTTCAAATACAGGATACTCAACCTATACGTGGAAGACCTGTTCCACGTACGTGCTTATTAATGATCCCCCCTGCTTCCCTACCATTCAACTAGCAACTCAAGAAGAAATGTCTGTTGCTCACACCAAGGACAAAAAGCAGCTAGTGTCCACATGACAGATACAACATGAGTGAAGAGGCTTGGCTGGGGGCTGGAGGTGGTGGTGGGGGTGGGAGCCCTGCCAAGGGGAAGCCTGGCCCAGCTGCCCCATGTGACAGAACCCGGGACAGAAGCACCTTGCTTCCTACTGTGTGAAGAAAATTGCCAAGAGTTAAGCCAAGACAAGGCTCTTACCATTTCTTCCTAGGTCCACACATTCATCAGTGTTTGTTTTACAGACCGGTAAATTTTCATCATTTCCTATATCTTCAGGGCTTTGTTTCTCAAGTACTGTACTTCAGAGCAGAGTCCTTAGTCAAGTAACTTTGAGTTGGAGTCCTTGCGAATGTTTTTCTTGGTCTTTATCAGTCTCACTCTTCCTTCTCAAATACATTAGCAGAGTCTTGTCCATCTCCATCCTCATGCCCAACATCTCCCTCTGGAGTCATCCCCCCCATTCATGCTCACTCACCTCCTGTGAGTGGCTCGCAGCCACCATCCTGCACCCAGCTCGGCATGCATGGGGGAGCCCTTCCCTCTTCCGGAGCTGGGGAGCACCCAAGAGGCAGAAGCTGAAAGAATAGGGATCTCAATTCAGTGGATGAAGACTGAAGTTCCAGGGTCCAGCTAAAAGCGAGTCCTTTCTCACTAGGTGACAGCCAGGGGGCGCTGCAGGATGACAGGGGAAGCAGGAAGAGGCAAACCAGTATCTGGTTGAGTAGCCTCCCCCCACCTCAACATCAAAGGACAGACAAGGTGCCGAAGAAGACTCTCCAAGGAGATGGGCAGGACAACCACAGACATGCTCTCACCCTTCCCAGCTTCAGCAAACAGACACACAAGGAATCCCCAACCAAACAGAGCAGCTGCTGGGCCAAGAAAGTGGGGTGGGCCAACTCACCCTCCATTTGTTCTGGTACCATCT